AAATTAAAAAAAAAAAAAAAAAAAAAAAATCAACTCGCCGACGAACATCTCAAGATACATGCAGGCATGCATAATGCTCCATCTCTTGTTTTCCCAACCAGATACTGGACTGTATTTTATAATGGAATGAAAGATACTCTAATAACCATTAAATTACTTACAGCCATCTTTTCTCCATTCAAGTACTGTGACTTACTTATTTTTCACTTTTCAATCAACCTATTATCAAAATTTGAAAAATCAATAGGTTAATCAATACCTGTTTCTCTAGCATTCTAGCTCTAGCCTCCACTTCTTCCCGTTTATCTTCTGCTAGTCGAAGCTGTCCAACAAATTCAAACATAAATATCAGTTAAACATGATATTTGGGGAACTGATATTCATATTCGTAAGCTTTCTTAGACTGGTAAGCAGACCTTTTCGAGTAAATTCTCATTCTCTTCTTGAAGCATATCAAGCTGCAAAAAGACCAAAGTCAGATTCACACTAGACTCAAGAATTATGGAGTCATTTCATAGAACAGCAGATGTAATTAATACACTGAAGATATAGCTTCCTCCAATCCAATGGAGGGCGATCTTTCTAGTACAAGAAGGAGAAATTGATTTCTACATTTACAATGTCATACCTCATCACGTAGTGCAGAAGCTTCCCGCTGATCTCCTGCATCTTTGGAGTTCACCTGTCCGATATCTGGTGTAAACCTGAAAAAAAAAAAATGGAATTGAATAAATGGGGAAATAAGAAAGCACATTGCCCCATTATTGACATGTATTTGAAAAACCAAGGTCGCATATTATATAACCTTCTATCTGAATTCCTATTAGAAGGAGGTTCAATTGGAGGTATAGAGACTGGAGTTCTGAGTGATGATTTACTCGGTGGTACGATCTGTGTGGAACGCACGGACATCGATGATCTACCAGCTGATGTGGATCGAACTTGAGGAACATGCTCTACGAAATTCCGACCTAACTAATCAAAACACCAGAAATTCCAATTGTCTTCTCGTTAGATAGTGTACCGCATGCTAATGCTAAAACAAATCAAACCGCGGGAAATGCTCCGCGCGGGAGTGAACACAATCTCTACTGTATCCAAGACAAATGAACACATGCCATGCTGCTAGTGCACAGATCTTAAAAGCCATGATAAAAGAAAGTAGAGACTAGAAAAGCTAAATTCAACTACCAATCCACAATGAAACAGATAAAGTATAACAAGAATTGACGTCAACCAGTCACCTAATTAAAACAGAAGAAGCAAGGATACCAAATTACCGCGGGGGACGGAGATCTGTTAATCCTGGGACCCGAAATCGTATGAAACGAATTGGTACTGTTACTATTAACAACACTTTGATAAGACGAGTGAGTACGAGGAGGAGGTGGGGCAGCGAATCGAAAGTTGAGATCATCGTCTTCATCATCGTCCTCAGGGGTCTGCGCCATGACCTGAGCCAAACGTTCAGCAGCTTTCTTGGCAGCAACATTCTGAGCGCGCTTAATGGTGGAAGACGTACCCAATCGAGACTGAGGATGAGCCGGCGACATGGCAGGAGAGGACGATCCTGTGCTGCTCGAGCCGCCACTCCACTGCCTTGCGTAGACTGGACTAGCAGGTCTCCTCCGATCCATTTCCTTCAACAGAATTGCGCAAAGTGATTAAGCCGCAGTTCCAAAATTAGCAGAAATTTTCTGGAGAAAGAATCGGTGTTGACAAATAGGTCGTGCAAAGAAATACAGAACAACGTCGTTTGATTCAGAAGCACGATTTGGTGAACATGATGGCGTATAATTATCTAAAATATCATAATTAAATTATTCACAGTATTATACCATTTTATATATATAATTTCCAATTATGAAAATATCGAATCTCCATAATTTCCAACTAATTTAAGTTTAACGCTGTCGCTTAATTAATTACTAAAGCAACTTGCTATCTAAATAAATTAAATCAAACTAAAAAAATAAATAATTAACCTTCTAATTTTTTTATTTTAAGTAATTGTTGATTAATATGTTTTATTATTTTTTTCTTTTTTTAGTGTTTTAAAAATAAAACCAATTTCTGAAAAACTAAAAAAAAAAAAATATATATATATATATATATATATATCTTCTGGGCCGACCCGCGAGACCCTGCTTTTGGGCTCGGCCTTTTCAGATTAAATGTAATTGGGCCGAAAATACTGGATGGTTAGTGGCCCATAAAATCGAAGTAGATAAACGGTTTACTTTTATGGATTTTTTTTTATAAACATTTAAGTGTTGTCTATTTTTAAAATTAATGAAACTTTTTAAATCTTAAATATATTTTTAAAATAAATTATTTACATTTACATTCATCACAATAATAACATTTTTAAAAGTTTAAAATTATTTTTAAAACAAAATACAAAATTTAACGTATGAAATTGATTCGAGCCCTCCCAAGTTCAGCCAGCACAAGCACAAGTTACAATCTTGTTTAGTTCAACACAAAATTTCGTCAAAACTCCATTTGAAGAACGAGAAAAAACTTAACAAGAAAGAAAAAAAAGTAGCACATTTGCAGTGTGTTTTGGGAGACGAGTTTTCCATAGGGCGAGTGTCTAAAGCCCTTGTTATCAGTCGACACTCAGCGTTCATGATACTTGAGTGAGTTTTCTCATATTAAGATGGAAAAGTGATCGAAAACTCGCAACCTGCTTGCAAAAATGAATGAATTACGTAAATTGAGCGGTGCTTAACTTTATGCTACAAAACAAAAGAATGGACATTGATTAGACGAAAATGAGAGCATTGCTTGGATTCGCTAGGTGGGTGTCAAGTTGTGATGGATTTGGGCGTGAATTTGATTGCATATCTTGATGAGAAGACACTAAAGAAAGGTGCAGTAGCCAAAAGTCATCGTAAGCCCAATTAAGACGTTAGATGAACACGACTCTCCATAATTGTATGATATTGTCATCTCATGACTTTATTTTAGGCTTTCTTCAAAATGTCTTATATTAACGAAGATAGTATTCGTAATTATAAACTCATGATAGTTCTCTAAATTAGCCGATGTGTGACTTTTATCCAACATAAGGAACAGTGTTTCACTGTTCAGCATGAACGTGCATTAACGTTCATGTGTAATTAAGAGGTTGTTTAATTTTTGTTGATGTTTCTGTGGCCGTATGTGACAAAATCATTTAATCTCGAGTTGGTGAAAGCTTGATTTGATTACTCTGAGACATTATGAGGAGGAGTAGTACATAATCGCCAGAAACCGACCTGGAAGACCACGTACAAGTCTCAATAATTTCAGTGCCACACCAATCACGCGTCTATATGGACTACTCAAATAAATCTTCCTTTTCTTTTTATGTTTTGAGTCTTTTATGGTATGTGGTCAATGTGAGCAGTTAAGTGTAGCTCAAACTTCTAGGCTTTTGCATGCAACCGACCGACCGCATTAAACGTTGATGCTACTGTGGAGGATTGTTGGGAGAGAGGAGTTATACATCCTTTAATTAAGAAGATGATCGTGAGTTTAAATAAGAAATACACTAGTGGGGACAGTGGTGATTCTTAACATGGTATTAGAGTCATAGTCTTAACTTAGTTATGTCAATAGAACTCTCAAATCTCGAATAAAGAAGTTGTGAGTCTCGAACTTGTAGTTAAAAGTGACTAAATGTTGAACAAATGGTGTATTTTATTCAAGAGCTCCAAAGAAAATAGTCGAGCCTCGATTAAGGGGAGGCTATTCGAGGGCTCCATAAGTTTCATGGGAGACTCTATGGTGTACTATATTCGAGGAGGTGAGTTTCGAAGGTGTAGTTAAAAGTGACTAAATGTCAAACAAATGGTGTCTTTTGTTCAAGGGCTCCATAAATCTAAAGGAGAGGCTCTACGGTGTACTTTGTTCGAGGGGAGGATTGTTGGGATGGAGTTCCACATTGACTAATTAAGGGAATGATCCCGAGTTTATAAGTAAGAAATACATCTCTCTCTCCATTGGTATGCAAATTCATGATTTCTGATAGTGACCTATGTTGGAAGAGATGGTACATACACCTTCGAGGCCAAAAAGTAAAACACGAACACATGAGATTCAGAAACCATTGGACGTTTGGGAATTGGAAAACGTGAAAAAAATGAAAGAGGAATGATAAAACCCAAGTTTTATTAAATGAGTTTGAATCCAACCACTGTGCATTTGGAGACTGTGATATGATCTATCGACTTTTTGGAGCATGTGTATCAAACTCATAAAACATGTCCACACAATGAGTATCAAGGTCACTTTACCTTGTCATTAATTAATACCCATCTATAGCAAGCATCCGCCTCATGAAACTCGTTAGATATCATCTGGCTTTAGAGTTCAATGGATTCAAGAACGAGGACTGCTAATTCTTAAACTTGAATTAAATACAGCGTTGAATATTGAAGAACAATGCTTGTTACAGTTTGAAAGAGTTGGATGGTTTTGATCATATGCTGCGTTGATGATGCCTAACAGCCCAACAGAGCTGCGGACAAAGCCCATTACTAGCTTCGATTTTGACCTATAATTCGTTTCCTTTCTTAAATTTTTTCCTGATTTATCTCTCGTGGAAAATGACAGAATCGTCTGTCTTAGAAACCCCTTGAATGAGACATGATTGAATTGATCTGAGTTTTCGGTTATCAAATTTTCTTTTAATACCTCTTTCTATACATTTGCAAGTTTATTCATACGTCGATCAGTAAACTTTTGTTTGTTCATAGTTTATCAATCTTGAATGACATTGAATATGATTAACTGATATTCAAAATTCAAATTTGGTATTGAATATGGTTTCAAACCTTGTATTTGCGACATAATCTTGTTATTATTTATTATTATTTTGAAGAGTGAAAACTATCATTATATACTAATACGGGTCAATCTAACATGATTTGTCATCACCCATATATATTCTAGAAAAAATCTTGAGGGGTCAATTAATATAAAATTAATCTAAGTAAAATCCGGTTAACTATGGAGTTATAAGATGAGTTATCTAAAAATTATTGATAAATATAGTAATTTTTAATTTTTTAAAACATTTCTTCGGCACCTTATTCTCGGGATCATTCTCATTTGGATGTGGTTCTCGATTCGTTCATGTACCTTCGTTTACTTGAGTATCACATTGACAATGTATGAGATCCCACATCGGTTGGAAAGAAGAACAAAACATTCCTTGGTTTAGAAACATTTCTCTAACAAATGTATTTTAAAATCGTGAGGGTAACGACCATACATAACCGGTCAAAACGGACAATATTTGTTAGCGGTGGGCTTGAGATAAGGATCTTGGTCTCCCAAGAAGGGTGGATTGTGAGATCTCATCAGTTGAAGAGGATAACAAAACATTCATTATAAGTGCGTGAATATCTCTCTAACAGACAATATCTGTAACAGTAAGCTTAAACTATTACACAATAAATAAAAATAATAGCATTAGTATAGTAGTATCGAGTAGGATCGAGAATGTTGTAAAGAAAAGGAGTAAAAAGTGATTGGTGTAACAAGTTAAGCCGATGGGTATCAATATTGAGCAATGGGTATGGGTAGCTCATTAATCAATGCCCTTTGTGTTTGTTTGTAATAGACAGTTTGACAGAAGCGCTCTCCCTTGGGTGGTATCAACAACCGGCTGCCTTCCCCTTTCTGCCCCACTCTCCCTTCCCTTTCAATTCTTTTTCTTTCTTCACTCAAAACTCTCTACACATGAACACGTAGGTTAGTAATCACGACTCTCTACAATGATATGGTATTGTCCATTTTGAACATAAGGTTTCATAGTCTTGCTTTGGGCTTTCCAAAAGACCTCATACGAATGGAGATAGTATTTAACCAACGTGGAACTCACTTCCAATAATCATCAACGATGTATGTTCCTTCCCTTCAAAATCCTTCCTTCAACTTTAAGTTTAGCTCTCAAAACTCTTTTGAAAAAACCCCAATAATTGTTAACAGTAAACGAAAAAAAAAAAAAAAAAAA